CCATTTTTGGTCGAGATTGGTTATTTCAATTCCATCTTGATTGGAGCAGCATCAAACCTAGTAGGCCTATAAAATCTCTAGAAGTCTCTACAGGGAATCCAAATGCATGGATTCAACCTAACCTAACTAAGCTACTCACCAAATAATAAGTCAATAAGTCATTTATTAGGCCAGATCAACATATACATGCATTAGTCAAGTCAAATTAATCTTAATTGATAAAACATATTGATTATCTTACAGTGAAAACAACTAAAGTACTTACAAGCAACAACTCAATTCAGTTAACTCAAGTTAATTCAACAAGTGCCTACAAGTAAAGTTAAATATAAAGAAGTCTTTGACAAAAATGTAGGTACCATAAACAATTTTGTGTGCGATCTGAAATTGAAACCAAATGCTGTGCCGTGTTTTTCCAAAGCTCGTGTAGTACCTTTGACTTAACAGAAACGAGTCGAATTAGAACTTGCTCGTTTGGAGCGTGAAGGGATCATAAAACCTGTCGACACCTCAGAATGGGCTACACCCATTGTCCCTATTGTTAAGCCGAATGAAACTATCCGCATTTGCGCAGATTATTCTGGTACCGTAAATAAACAAATTGAAGTACCACAACACCCATGTAGCACAGATGGTTGGGCCAACGTTGGTAAATTGTGGAGCCACACAGTTAGCCAACGGTAGAAATGTCACTTCTTTAAACTGTTTTCCAACCAACCATTGTCCAACAATGGCCCAACTATCCAAAAATACTGATGGCCAACTAACCATAACACAACTGATATCCAACCAACCGTTTTATTTAACACAAAATATTAAAGATTTAGTATGAAAAGCATAATTATAAGTTGAGTAAATTGATTAAATAGTTCATAAAAACAAATTTTGAAAAAAAGCTAGAACAAAATTTTTTGGCCCAGACGGGTCTTGAACCCGGGTCCTTCGACTTATGAGCCTCTTACCTTACCACTGAGCTATCTGCGATTGTTGATATAGAGAGTTTTCAAGTGGTGTAAGAGTAGCCGACAGTTGCAATGGTCGCAATACTTAAAACAATTTTGATACTACACAGTATAATATGATTCTGTTAATAAAATGCATCATAAGTAGTTATTATTTTTTTGGGGGGGGAGTTAGAGAGGATACTGGTATTTGAATATAGATTATTTAATTACCGTTAGATTATTAATGCTATTATAATTGACTGTTATATGATTAATTACTCTTTCCCCTTAAATTGTTGCAAATAAGTTAAAGAATATTAGTTGATCCAGAGAATGAAAGTCGTGTAAAACTCAACTATGGACCATCGTTGGTCCAACAAAAGTATCTTTTGTTGGTCCAACGGAGTGAAAAACGGTTAGACAATGGTTGGCTTGATGTATGATACCCAGCAATGCATATTAATGTATTTCATTAACAATGAACCAATGTTGGTCCACAGTTGTAAATATTGGTTGGCCCAACTACGAGATATACAGTTGGACAACGGTTGGTTGGTTGTGGAAGCTCCAACCAACCATCGACCAACTGTTCCACAGTTGGCCAACGTTAGCCCAACCATCTGTGCTACATGGGCATCCTCTACCTAGATACGAATATGTCTTTTCTAAACTCAGTGTTGGCTTACATTTCACTATACACTAGATATTCTTTCAGCCTTTCTACATATGCCTGTGTCTGAGAAAACTTAGGAAATTCTAACTATCAATACGCACAAGGGATTGTACCGCTGTCTTAGGCTTATGTATGGTGTAAGTGCGGCCCCAGCCACTTGGCAAAAATACATTGAGAGTGTGCTTGCCGGCATCCAAAATTGTACAGTAGTCCATGATAACATAATTCTCACGGCTAAGACTGATGAAGAACATTTAAATGTTTTACGTCAAGTACTAGAAAAGCTAAAATCTTGCGGGTTACATCTTAATATACTTAAGTGCAAGTTTTTTCAAGAGGAGGTGACATATTTAGGCCACAAAATCAATGCTTCTGGTATTTCAAAAACTGAAGAAAAGGTTCAAGCCGTGCTTAACTTTCAACCCCCCACTACAGTTAAGGAAGTTAAGTCTTTCTTGGGCATGGTATCTTTTTACAGAAGGTTTTTCCCAAACTTATCTACGCTAGCCAATCCATTATACAACCTAACGAGACAAAACGTCCCTTTTAAATGGACTAAAGACTGTGAAAATAGCTTCCAAGCTATAAAGGAAGAAATTGTCCAAGATCGCATCTTGGTTCATTATGACCCCAACTTACCTTTAGTTCTTTCTGTGGATGCAAGCCCCGTAGGCCTTGGTGCAGTGTTGTCCCATCAAATGTCAGATAACTCTGAACGACCTATTGCTTTTAGTTCTCGTACGCTTACAGGGAGCGAATGCAATTACTCTCAGATAGACAAGGAGGCTTTGGCAATCTATTAGGGTGTACGGAAATTCTACCATTACCTCTATGGCCGAAAATTTACATTAGTTACGGACCATCAGCCCTTAATACACATTTTTGGTTCACGGAACAAACTCCCCGTCCTACAGGCTACTAGGCTACTGCATTACGCACTCTTTTTACAATCATTCCAATTTGACATAAAGTACAGGAAGTCTGAGATGCATGGTAATGCAGACTGTTTATCACGTTTCCCTACAAAATCTCAAGAAGTGTTTCAAATGGACGATATTTCCCTGTTCCAACTGAAGCAGATTAGTACAACGTTTGCTCCAGAAGTAATTTCAAAGGCCACTGCGGAGGATGAGGAGTTGCGGCCGATTCTACATAACTTACGAACAGGCGTGCCCTTACAAGGGAAAGAAGGGACTATGTCACTCCAGTCAGGTTGTATCCTGTTCTGTCATAGGGTTTACATTCCAACCAAACTACGCAAAGATGTCCTACAAGATCTACACTTAGGCCATTTGGGTATCGTAAAGATGAAGGCTTTAGCTAGGTCCTATTTGTATTGGCCTAGGATTGACAGTGATATCGAAACTATGGCGAGGAACTTCCCCGAGTGCATTTCAATACAGAAAGAACCCAAAAAGAGCGATACACATTTTTGGGAATATCCTTCGTATCCATGGGAAAGAATCCATATTGACTTTGCGGGTCCCTTTTACGGTCACAGTTTCCTGCTTGTCATAGACGCCCATTCAAAATGACCTGAAATCTTTATAATGAACTCAACTACAGCTCAAGCTACGATTACAAAGCTCAACTCTCTTTTTGCCTCTTTCGGATACCCAAAAGTGCTAGTAAGTGATAATGCCGCAACCTTTACAGGCATAGAATTCCAACAGTTTCTTAAGGCAAGAGGAATTAAACATATCACGGGAGCACCCTTCCACGCAGCGTCAAACGGACAAGTTGAACGCTATGTCCAAATTTTCAAACAGGCACTGCGAGCTATGAAAAATCCTGGTCACGGTTCAATGCAAGAGAAACTCAACACCTTCCTACTAGCCTACCGAAGAGCGCCTAATTCAACAACTTGTCAAAACTCCAGCCATGCTGTTTCTCAAGAGAGAGTTACGCTCAAACTTAGAAATTCTACGACCTAATATTCAAGACATTGTTGAAAAACATACAAGAGGCGATAAGTTCGAAGTTAAGAGCAGAAGTTTTGAAGAAGGCCAAAAGGTTGCTGTAAGGAACTATGCCAATCCAAACAAAAAATGGTTGGTAGGGCGAGTAGTAAGCCGTGATGGTGAACTTAATTACACTGTCTCAGTCAACAACAATTTGTGGAGAAGACATGCTGATCAAATTAGGTCTGTTGGAAGTGATGTACAAGAAACAGTAGAGCCAATTTACAATACACCCAGAATCGGTAGTGATTCCAACCTACAAAAAGATGCCAGCCCATCAGTACCACTTGCCCAAGAAAAGCCTCAAGTAAAGGAATTAAGTTTTCAAGAAGCTGTGCCCGCAACTACATGTGACACAGTCAGAAGTACCTCGGCCGAGTACCATGTTCCAAGTACTACAGCCTCGACACCTGTTCTCCGGCGGTCTTCCAAGATTCGGAAACCGCCCCAGAAGATGAATCCTTAAGGAGGGAGATATCATGTATATATGTAAATAGTGTATATAGCAAGATGAACATATAGATTAAGCCTGCCTACAAGCTAACCAAAAAAAAAATACCATGAAGATGCTAGAAACGGAACAAGGATTTGGTCTTCTCTATCCGGCAATGAAAGTGAGTAGTTGTATCAAAGTTTCTACATACGTTTTTACATAAGTATTTTAATCCATTATAATCGGCATACCCTTAGTATAAATTTACGTGTTTAATATTTTAAAGAGTCAAAGACCATAACGTATCAAAAACTTGACAACAGTGCTGGTATATATAAGTAACAAAGTTGAATTTTGATGGGAAGCCAAAGATGAAGGATTATAATGAAACATTCAAACAACTGACAACATGCTTCAAAACTGAAAACTATAAACACCTTATCTGTTCTCCATTAGGAAGTGTCAGAGACAAGCTGCCAATCAAGCACAATTTACCAGACATTGTTCAATTTCAAAGGGAAACTTTAGCTAAAGTTGGTATTGTAAAATACAGGCAGAACTTGGATAGAAGAGTTTTGAACAACAGTCTTGAACAGAAGTTTATAATTACCTTTAACTTTTTCCACCAATGTTCAGGCACTCAGACGTGGGAACGCAGCCTATGCCGCCTCAGCTATAAGTATTTTATGACGTACGACATCATAAGCCGTATAATACTGGTAAAGGAACCCTCCTCCCAGTACCCATTGATCGGGACCGGTGGAGCTCTCCCCTGGCTGGAAAGCTGATGGGCATATGGTAATACCTGAGTAGGAGACCTGTAGAACAAATTATCAAGTCAGAACTCTTTATTTGCCAGGAAATATTAACATAAATACATTGGCTATTGGCACGTCAGTAATTAGATAAATATAGCTACAGTTTCTTTATTTACGGTACGTTATATAGGTACAAATCTACAAGTTAAAACCAGCGGCAGTCCAGGTTGCAGTCATAAATTTGTTAGGGTATAAACAATTGTTTGTGAAAAAAAATAGAGGCCTTAAGAAGTGTCTTTTTTTCTGGGTTTTTAACAAATGTTTGGATCATGTCACGTATAAGTGGACCACTTCCCGCACATAAATATCCAAATTTGCTTTTATATGAATAAAACAAAGATAAATATTCAAACATGAGTTCATTTTGAGGTTTGCAAAATAGGCCAACAATTTTCATATTCCTCTACAATGTCAATAACATGCAAAGTATGTTTTTGTATTAGTAAAATGTCATCATTATGCAGAGAGCAACCCCACACACCGAGATCCAATGTAATAAGTACAACGTCTAGAATGTACTTTACCCTTAGTACATTTGGCGGCTAATGTCACTCAATTCCCTTATTGAGAGCTACCTCCAGTTGTATATCTAGCTCAGTGGTTAACAGCATAACCAGTGGCGTAGCCAAGGGGGGGGTTTTGGGGGTCATAACCCCCCCCCCCTTGACGATAGGATTTTGCCCTTAAAAACCCATAAAGACTCCTAATACTGTATAAATGGTCATTATTGTGATGATTAATTTTCTTTTCACAATTAAAAGACAATAACAGTAGTATTGCGCAATCATAATAAGTTGTCATTAACTCTTGGATCAGTAATACAAACTTTAACGTTTAAAATCATAGCTAACTCAAAGTTTTACTCAAACAAAAACATTTCCAAACACTGAAACACTGTACTGTACAGAAATGAATCGCGTAAAGAACAGAAAAATAGATAGTCTAAGCTAGTCATAGGTTTACTGCTACGTGTTTACTGCTACGTGATGTTTTGGGACAGAATAGGCTAAGTGTGATCTGTGACTCAGCAGACAGACAGATGTGTAAGGAAAGGAGCAGACGACTGTCAGTGCTAGCGCGTAGCTTAAGTGACCTTGAAGCTATCAGCCGATTTTTTTTGTCATGCTTCCATTTTATTTTTGTCAATTAAAATGTGATGTTTCAAAAACAATAATGTGAGAACCTACTGCATATAAATAATAATGGTAAAAAACTAGTTAAATTAAATATACAATGCATAAAACACATTAGACTTAAGAAACACAATTTATAAATCAATTGTGAAGTAAAAGTTCTTGGTATTGGATAATGAGGTTATGTAACATAATTTTAGAAGCATTTATATTGACCACTCTGGTTAATCAAGGTTCTTAATAGACAAAAGATTACGTATCTACTGAAAGAAAAAAACTGGACCTCACTGCTATTTAACTTATTATGATAAGTTCTTAAGTGGAACTGTGCAAATGAGGAATATTAAAAAATCAAATGTACTAGGGGGTATAAATAGCAATTCAACTACTGTGTCACGCATCTTACACTTGTTTTTTTATGACCACTAGTTATTTTTTAAATGGTCCTAAACAAACCTTATTATTATTTCTTCTCAAATTTTACGGCTGTGGCCCTCAAACCCCCCCCCCCCCCCCTCCAGATCAGCTATGTGAAACCCCCCCCCCCTTGACATAATCCTGGCTACGCTACTGAGCATAACCAAGATCTTTAACTTTACATCCATGCTTAATACAAGATAACCGCATCAATTACAAGCTGGAATGTATGTAAAATACTGGATTGGCCATTTTGTAACCGATGGTACTACAAAAAGGACCCTGATCAACTATAAAATGACCGATTGGCAGTTCTAGATCATTATTTGGTACTATATTGCAAATAAAGATTACACCTCACTTTGAATCTAAGTATTTATAATTTTAAAGATGTTTATTTATATCAAATCAAGATAAAATTATATCATATTTAACAATATGGAAACATGTTGCAGCAACCACAGCAGTAATAAAACAAAACAATTACTGGCAATGGTTATTATATCAGCAACCCTGTGTGAATTCAAATGAAAAAAATAATAGCAACAAATTAACATAACTTGTTAAGTTAAAAGATAATCACAAAGTATTTTTATCTATTGGTGTTGAGTGAATTGGTTATCAACACAAGTGGGTAAAAGTTTACTGGCATTGGTGATACAATGGCATGTAATGCACTCAATTAAAAGTGACAGCAAAAATAATACCTTCTGAATGTAATCTCGAGCAAGGATCATGAAGTCCTGATTGGCAATGGTAAACTTTACCTTTGGTCCCTTCAACTCATTGATGCATGGAATCTGAAAATAATGTTGAAATTTAAAATGAACAATCAGAAAATTTCCAATAATCAGATAATTACCATCCACTTTAGAATAAAGTGTCACAATAATTATGAGTTCTAAAAATTTTGAACCAGTTGTAAATAACCGTTCTACTTATGATGGTACACTCTTAATGAAATGAAATGAAATGAATGAAATGAAATGAAAAAATATCTTTATTCATATGGTATACAGTCGCATACATTGAATGGCGTCACTAGGCTTAAAACTAAATCAAACTAAATTACAATTCATCGAAACCATAAAGTGTTTTATCAGTCAACAAATGTTTCAGTTAATTTTTAAATTTGGAAATATTATCAATATTCCTCACCTCAGCTGGGAGTTTGTCCAAAAACCTTTTCCCTGCACAGGTGGTTTTTTTGTTAAAGAGCTCCAAATTATGGACACTGACAGCAATTTCATTTCTGTTCCGGGAAAAATAATTATGACTATCACCAAGTTTTGGGACCAAATTAGCATTAGAAAGTTTTTTTGTGTGTAAAATTGTATGAAAATCATAAATACTATATACAGTCATTATTCCCAATTTTGAAAAATTTTGACGAGCTGACTCATCCCATTCTAAATTTAACATAATTAATGGATATTCTTAAAATTGGTTAACCCGTGTTTTGATTTACAGTAGAACCTTGATAACAAGACTCTCATGGGATTGTAAAATCAGACTTGTTATCAAGGTTGACTTCTTATCGAGGTTTACAGTAATATAACATGTGTTTAGGGGTAAAATAATTTCAAGGGGATTTGAAAATGACCCTTGTTATCAAGAGTGTCTTGTTATCGAGGGTTTTGTTATCGAGGTTCTACTGTATATTGTTTTATAAATATTCATGGAAATACACTCGCAGCAAATGTCCATTTGTCTGACTAAACAAATTTCCATTTGACTGGTTGGATTTTCCCTAAAATAATTTGTTAAAAATGACAAATATATTCCCCTCTTAAATAACATTATGTATGACGAGTACTTAGGTTTGCTGCTACATGGATGGTCTTTAAAGGGTCTTTTAGAAAAACTTAGAATTAAATAATGAAATTATTTCCTATAACAATTAAATGAGAATTTAAATTAAAAGTTTTTTGGAATTTTCTAAAAAAATCATTACTCGTAAAGCAGTGCTCCCATATACTAAAATATTTGTTTTGCTCTACAAAATGGTATGGAAAGAAATTTTGAACAAAATTGGATAGCTTAAATATGAATTATCGTGTTAACAGACACACACACATTTATTCAATGAATTTGAATGACTGGCATTTTTATCCTCTGGGGACAACAAATGGGAAAAAGAAAGCGGTCCTGGGTCCAGGTCTTAGTATGATACCTCTGGCAAGAGCTTATTTCCAATAAAGTAAATTTGCAAAAACTTTCAAAATTGTTGTTAGAAACATCTACTACCATTTGAATAAATATTTATTGGAAGCATCATATTTGATTAATAGACTCCATCTTATTTTTAATTATTGTGTAATTCTAGATAACGCAAGATTGACCAACAATGAAGAGTAGCTTTTTACACCATTCCTTGTACTGATGTACAACAACTAATAGTATTAAATAAAGACAATTTCATTTGATTTGATTCTAAAGAAGCCCTGATACCTGGACTCGGTTTTGTCGGTCCTCGGTATATCCGGCCACTTCTGGGTAAATAATAACAATATTTTTTTACAGTTTACAGACGGTAGTCGCAAGTACAAATCTTGGAGGAGGATTCTCACAATTGATCTGTTTGATTACGTTTTATTGTGCCACCTTCAGTTGAGCTAGTAGTATTATTGTTTTTATAATAGGTTGGTTTATCCGGCCAAGGGCTTAGTCTCGTGGTGGTTATTTACGAGGGTTGTTTTTTTTTCAACCTCCGATAGGCTATATACAAAAGACAAGTTCATATAAAACATTAAATTTATTACCAAAAGTTTGGTCCATTTATGGTTACTTTTTGACATAATCACCAAAGAGATTGAGAGATTTGCTATATCTGTGCACCAGCTTTTTAATACCCTCTTCAAGAAAAGTGGCCGCCAGTACATTCAAAAAACTAAAAAAATTCAAAAAACAAAAAAATGTCAAAAAAATTTAAAAAATTTAAAAAAATCAATAAAAAATAAAAAAAAGACTTTAAAATTTCTAGATATTCAGTAAACAAATCAATAATGGTGAATCTGTGGTTTATTTAACCATTCTGCCAACTTGTTGAACCAGCTCATCACTGTCGTTTCAGATGACTTGGTTCAACAGTTTGACAGGATGGTTAAATAAACCACAGATTCGCCATTATTGCTTTGTTTACTGAATTTCTAGAAATTTTAAAGTCCTTTTTTTATTTTTTCTTGATTTTTTTAATTTTTTTGACATTTTTTTGTTTTTTGAATTTTTTTTGTTTTTGGATGTACTGGCGGCCACTTTTCTTGAAGAGGGTATTAAAAAGCTGGTGCACAGATATAGCAAATCTCTCAATCTCTTTGGTGATTATGTCAAAAAGTAACCATAAATGGACCAAACTTTTGGTAATAAATTTAATGTTTTATATGAACTTGTCTTTTGTTTATAGCCTATCGGAGGTTGAAAAAAAAACAACCCTCGTATAAGGGATTCTTGTTAACAATACAACCTGTTTTTACAGCTATGCTTTGTATAAACGTTTTTGTTACGAAAAGTTAAGTTTGATGAATGTTTTAATTTGAATCTTACCATGTATCGGTTTGAAAAAAATATTTCGGTGGCTCCAACGAGTCTGTTGATGTCATTTATCTCGTCAGCTGGACCGATGATGGTGTTGGCGCTGGTGTCAGCGAGAGCTTTACAACCATTCTTACAGTACTCCTTCTGGCTCTTCTTGCTCATCACTAGAGCGATTCTGCAAAAACATAAACAATGATAGAGATGACATGAGCGTCCATCAAACTTTTCCATAAGGGTGGCTGGGGGACTGAAGTGTAGCGAATGACCCCCAGTAAAAAGAGAGTTCAGGGCTCCTCCCCCAGAAATTGTTTAACATTTAAGTACAATTTGGATTGTAATTTTTTTACTAAAAATTCTTTATGTAGCCTATTGTAATTTTATTGTTTTTTGCAAAATTGGGTAATGTAGGGTCTCATAGGGCAGGGGGGGTTGGGCCCCCTGCCCATATTGATGGACGCCCATTGCTTTTAATGATCTTAGGGTTGTAATATATTAAATTATTACTCTATTGTCATTCTTATATTTATATTTTGAGTAATATTGTTTCCAGACAAACATCATAGCCACCGTATATTTGATGGGGTTTTATGAGAAAATCACCATTAAAAACCTTAATTTCAAAGAAATTAATAAACCTCTGGAGATACCATGGATCAATTAGTATCCAACCACTAAATTTCATTAAAATGGGACCAGTCTGGTCTGTAGCACTGAGCACATCCACACACACAGATATAAAAAAAAAACTTTTTTCGGTTCAGTTCAGGGTGACCCAAAATGTATATATCCACTCAAACACAAAAATTTTGACCACAATACTTTTGCCATATAGTAGTTTGTATTAGGGGTGTGCGAGTACTCCAATCTTCGAGCTTTTTGGTCGAGCTTTTCATTATTCGGCTCGGTTCGAGGCATTTTGAAAAAGCTCGAAGTTCGAGCCGAGCTTTTAATACTAAGTCAAAACTAAAAAAACCCCTTAATTTGGGTCGTAATTGAAAACAATGTTATCACAATTCTACGTTGTTCATGCATTCGAGGTTTGATAAGCACGAACCTCAGCTCCGTCAAGACGCAATGATTATCGATCGTAATTTTGAGGATATAGGAAAGAGACAAACTACCACCTATCGCGTTGTCTTTCTAACACAGCTATTCCAACGCAGTGCGAGTGCGTGATTGGCTCGCCGCTATGACGACACAGGGTTGCCGTGACAACCTACAGTGCGCACTGAGCACTGCGCCTTGTGTGGGAGGGGAGATTATACCAACAAACTATTTCAGGAATTCTATTTTGGGACGGATGAAAGATAAGGAAGAAACAAAAAGTGGTCACGTGTGCAAATGTAGTGGGCGACACAATAAGGCTGTAAACATCGTCGTGTCGTTGTTCCTTGTTTGTTTACTTTTTCAACTCCTTATCAAACGTCCCTATCTGTTATCTCTCTTTCTCTCTCTTTCTCTCCTCTCTCTCTCTCTCTCTCTCTCTCTCTCTCTCTCTCTCTCTCTCTCTCTCTCTCTCCCTCTCTCTCTCTCTCTCTCTCTCTCTCTAACAATGTACTGATTAAACAGATTGTGGTTGACGACTTTTCTACTTATAAGTTTCCCTGCAGTAATTTTAGTTCAATCAATCCCATAACCTTTTTAATGTTTATCAAAATAATTAATAATCTGTTTTGTATTTTATTTCCTTTAAACCAACCCCTATTTACCATCTGTATTTTATAGAATAAAATGTTTGTTTATAAAGTTTGACTGGCCACACAATTTTGTACCTATTTTATTTTGTATAAAGGAACAGTTACTTTGATGATTATATATATATCAATAAGTGGTGCATGCTGTAATGAATGCTTTTTATAATCAAAATAAGTAATGAATTATTAATTTTTGATAATACATGGGTCATTGAATACCATAATGTGATGTAGTTTCCTATTTGTAGCTTGCAAATAATAATAGTTGATAGTTAATTCTGGAAAATGAAAAATAGTGATCGCATTCATAAACCTGTTGTCAAAACAGCAACGAGGGTGTAAGGGTTTATTGTTTCAGAGGCTAGGGTGTTTTAAGGACAAAGTGTTGGGCCTCCCGGCTCAGGGAGGAGGGGGGCGGTGAGACTGTGTGAAGGGGAGGAAACTGGTTTTGGCTATTTATTGATTAGTTCGCTGACCCTTCTAGATAACAAAATTGAGTGACAGTGTTAAATCATCGTGTTCTTTATTTCATTTCTTGTTTACTTTGTGTGTTATTCTATTGATTTTAGTGTTTTGGTCTATTTCCTCTATATGTCAATTATATCTTTTTTAATATATAAGTTTACTTTTTACTTGTCTCTCCACCTTTTTGGATCCAAACAAACAATGTTCTTTTTTGATTAATACGATTCATAAAACAAAAATATTTTGTGCATGGAAAACAACAAGAATAGTCACGTGTTTTAAAATTTATTTTGTATTTATTTATACAAAATAGAATTAAATACTGTATTCATAGTAGTTACAATGTACATATGTTATCGACTTGCTAGTTGTTTTGTCGTCATTCAAGGTCGCGTTGCTGTTCTGTTATGAAAGACAATCTGATTGTCTCAGTCTGCACTGCATATCTCGTCAGGCCTTCAATCGATATCCTTTTTTTCTTGCATCTTAATTTAGTTCAGTTCAGTTCTTTTCGTGATTATCTACTATTTATTGTCTTGACAATTCTCAAATGTTTTTAAACATATTAAAATAACATTGTGTTTATTTAAAAATTGACTGAACATTATTATTATTAGGAAAAGCTTATTGAGGAAAAGCTCGGCTCGAAAAAGCTCGAGCTCGACAATTTTTTAAAAAGCTCGGCTCGGCTCGGCTCGAGGTTGAAAATCACTATTCGCACACCCCTAGTTTGTATATCGTGAGAAAGTGAAAAAATACAGTATGAATGCTAATATCAGTAGCAAAAAAACCAAATGATTCTTACTTGTCCACTTGGAACTCCCAGTAGAAATCAGAAGTCACATCTAGAGTGGTAAAGGCCGTTTTGTTGTGTTTGTAGTCAATTCCCCCGAAGAAGATGGAGCCTCCTCGTTTTGTGGTAGGATCTCTATAACACATAATCAATCAATAAATCAATCAATCATTATTTGCCATAAGGATACATTTACATATCATTGACAAAGTCTATTTGCAGTTTTTAAACCAAGTCTTAACATAAACAACAAAATACTCTTACAGGCCAAATATTACAATTAACATTCAACTCCATTCACATTCTTAACTGAAATGAAAACCAAACTAAAGGACAATTTCTCCCAGTTTAAAATAATCATCCAGACTATAAAAAGGGTTCTGAAGTAGATAACTATAAAACATAGCCTTAAATTTTTTAATTGAATGAAAATTTATATTATTTTTTACTGAGTTATACACTTTAATTGATAAAATGATGTGGCAATTACTAGTTTTACTAAGACGATGGGATTCTAACAGCGCAGTATTTTTAAAACGAGTGTTGTGACTGTGATTATTAAATTGAAGATATTCAGGGTTTTTTAATATATAAACAATCAGATCATAAATGAACAAATTTACTGCAGTTTGAATTTGCAGATCTATAAAAAGAGGTTTGCAATGATCAGGGTGCGTCCCTGTCATAGCTCTTAAAGCCCTTTTTTGGAGAATCAAAATTTCTTTTATTCTACCACTAATAATAATAATAATAATAATAATAATAATAATATCTTTATTGCCGTGAAACAAATATAAAATTGCATGGCATCCGTCAACATTTAATACAGGCATAACAAGTGACAGCAAAACAAATAAATACAACAGCATAAAACAATTAAAAATACTCATGATTAAAAAATTACACAGAACTTGTCATTTGATTGATTTAGAACCTCAGAGCAGCCGAACACCATCTACTCATTTGTGTCAAAAAACTTACCCACAGTGTAATATTCTTTATTAATCAGATATCTTTTTAAAATCAGTTTGAACCGTTTTTCGTTCCTTTCTTTCCTTATTTGTTCAGGAAGACTATTCAAAAATCTCACCCCCGTCTGAGAGGGCAAGCTTGAGGCTGCTCGGGACCTGTTTTGGGCCAACCTATATTGTTCTCTGCCTCGAGTTGAATACGAGTGAATGTCCTGGCCTTGTGTTAGGCTGCATTTAAATTTGGAAAACGTGGCAGCTTCCAAGATATACAGAGAGGCAAGAGTAAGCAGGCCCAGCTCCCTGAAGACGGCCCTACAAGACTCTCCCACCTGTAGTTTAGCCACTATTCTGAGTGCTCTCTTTTGAAGACGGAACAACCTGTGGAAGTCCACTTCTGCACATCCACCCCAGATTGCAATTCCATAAGAAAGATGGGGGTAAATAAGGCCAAAGTAGGCCATTAGCAAAACATTTTCTGGACAAAATTTTGAGAGGACTCTTAAGGCAAAACAGCCTGAAGATACTCTCGTACAGACGTTGTCAAGGTGGTTACTCCAAGTGAGCCCCCGGTCAATGGTGATGCCCAGAAACTTAAAAGAATGAACTTGTTCAATTTGTGAGTCATCAATCATTACCGTTACAGTCTCACTTGGTTCACCGTGCCTGTGAAAACGGATAAAATTTGTTTTTTGAGAATTTATTTTCAAATTGATGTTTTCAAAAAATTGAACACATGAATTTAGATCTACAAAAGTTTTGATTTCTAGATTTGGAAGATTGTTGGCACTGCAACAGAGAGTCGTATCATCAGCATATTGAGCCAATTTGCTAGATCCAGATGATGAAGACAGATCGTTAACGTAAATCAAAAATAAAATTGGACCAAGAATGGATCCCTGCGGGACACCATACTTTAACAGAGCTGGTTTTGAAAGATGATTTGAGACCTGCACCTGTTGAGTTCTGTTTGAAAGGTAAGATTTTATCCAATGCAACGGAACACCTCGAACACCGTAGTGTTCTAATTTTGACAAGAGGATACTGTGGTTGACGCAGTCAAAAGCCTTGGTAAGATCTAGAAAGACACTGAGTGTCGGGTGATGCTTGTCCGGATTCTCAATTACCTTACTGACAAGGCTATACACTGCATCCACTGAACATTTCCCCCTTCTGAACCCGAATTGATCAAATGAAAAAATGTTGTGATGATTGAGGAATGCTAACAATTGAATCAAGAACAGTTTTTCAAATATTTTGCTAAACACAGGCAAGAGAGAGATGGGACGGTAGTTGTTGGCATTGAGTGGGTCCCCCTTTTTAAAGATTGGAATAACTTTTGCCCTTTTCAGATCTTCAGGGAAACACCCACTCTTAAAAGAGGCATTGACTGCTTCCGTCAATGGACGTAATATATGCTCAGACAGTTGCTTAAGAAGCCACACAGACATGCCATCGACATCTGTTGATCTCTTCGACGGTAGTTGATTTATGACAGTTGCAACTTCCTCCTCTGTTACGGGGAAAAGTCCCATAGACATAATAGGACTATCACCTATCACTGGCTGCATATTTCTCAAAGATGTCACATTTGAAATTGCTACTTGGGAAAAATAATCATTAAGGTAGTTTGCCACATTCGAAGGTTCTGTGACTACGCCACTGTTTATTCTTACATGAATAGGTTTTTCAGTTTTCTGGCCTTTTATATTGTTGATCACACCCCATGCTGATTTTGAGATATTGTCACTAGCTTTTAATTTTTTTCTAATTTCATAGGATTTCGCTGCTCTAATTAGTTTTCTGTAAATTCTTTTGTAATTTTTAAAAAATATTTTGAAATTTGCATCTCTTGTTGCTTTAGCCGTAATATAGTGTTGCTTTAGTTTTTCTCTAGATACCAAAATACCTTTAGTTATCCAAGAAACATTTTGAGATTTTTTTTTTATTTTCATCTTTCTTCTTGGACAGTTTGAGTCAAGGTGATATCTAAAGCTGTACATGAAATGTTGAAAAACATCAACTGATTTGGTGTTTGATAAATAGTTACATTGCTCATTTTTTAAACAGGCTTTAAATGATTTAATTGTTGAGGGGTTGACAGTCCTTCCCTCATAAACCAAGGAGGGAGTAGTTGCTGGAGAACAATCATGGATATATATCTGCTGCGCATCATGGTCTGAGATGGCTGTAGTAACAACTGATGTTACCAGATTTTCACAGTTTGAGATTACATTGTCAATGGCACTAGACGAGGTTGCAGTTACACGTGTGGGTGAGTTTATGCGCCATTGCAAACCAAAAGACTCTAAAAGGTCTCTCAGCTGTTTAGTCTCAGGAAGAGAGGCATCTAGTACATTGATATTGAAGTCGCCAGCAACTACGAATTGACTACTCCTTGAGCTTAAGTCGCTCAGCAAAATCTCAAAATTTCGAAAAAAAGCATTTAGAAGACCATCAGGTGACCTATATAGACCTATGATGATTATAGGGCTTTGATTTGACGTTGTTACTTTCACTCCAGCAACTTCGAAGTCTTTGTCTGTGGTATTCGGAACAGAAATAGGCGCATAGACTATGGGAGACCTAACAAATATTGCGACGCCACCACCTTGAAACCTCGACCTGACAAAAGAATTAGACATTTCAAAATTGTTTATATGAAAATACTGAATATTTGCAGGCTTGAAATGATGCTCAGTAGCAACAAACACATCTGGCTGAAGCTCCTCACACAGAAGCTCCAATTGGAGAAGTTTGTTTGTTGCACACTGAACATTTTGATGCACTATTGATAATTTAGTACCTAATTCGGGGCTACAAGGGTGGCGCCGGTCGATGTTAGTAAACAACTGCTCTGAGATTGACTCGGAATTCCTAAAAAAAGAGTGTGAGTGGAATTAGATACTACGTTACATACAGGTTTATAACTTTGTGAAAGAGGTTCTGAATTGGTTAAATTTAAATTAGTTGGTTGGAGGTCTGGAGTCAGTAGTGGAAAGTCTTGCAGACAGTTGAGTTTTGGTGGTGGTGGTGATGGTGAAGAAGGTGATAGGAGCTGTACCTGGTGAGTCTTAGAGATGGATGGTAGTGGCGTGGACTGCTTGAGAGGAGCATGATGTCGCTGATGGACCGGAGGACTACGTAGATGGGGCACTGCAGGCGGAGATGTATTCTTTGGCATCTCTTTTTGCGAGGTGACTGTTAAAGATGTTGAGTCTCTTGTAGCCTGTCTGATAAGTCTGGTAAAATGATCTGCCAGTAGCTGTTTGCCCCTCCTGTTGTAGTGTAGACCATGTCTAGTGAAGTGTGATCTGTTAAGTACTGCATTGACATCTACATAAGAGAGGTTGGCCTGTCCTTTGTAGTCCTGTATCCTGTGAGATATGTTCCAGTTTGCATAATAAATGTTGTTGTTGATTGAAGGAGTATCGTAGCGGTAAGGTATGCTATTAATAAGGATATTAGATGTCACGTTCACGGAAAGAAGAGATTGGACACCTTGGGTAACAGTTAGTTGTGAAGGCTCGTTTTGATGTAGATCATTTGACCCTGCTAACACAATGACAAAATCCTCCTTGCCGAAATTGTTGATCATACTCATCCCATCTCGAACAACATGTTTAAGTTTAGCACCAGGCTTGGTATAGACAAAAATTTCAAAATCCTCTTCTAAATGTTTCAGATACTTGCCAAAATCCTTGCCTTGACTGTCGGCTAATAAAGTAAGGCGCCTTTTATTCCTTGGAAAATCAGAAGATCGATTTAACTGTTTTTTATTAGATTTTGTAGATGAAGTCGAAGGAGGTTCAGCTGATTTGTGAACTTGAGCCAAAACCTCGACTCTTACGCCGTCACAAGGTGGTACACGGATTTCTTCAGCAAGAGCGGAGAATCTGTTTGAAGTTATAATTGGTTGTACATCTTGAGGATTTACTATGTTTTTTTTTACTGTGTTCTTTGGAAGTGCAAACTCTGTATTCCCAGGAATTAATCCACTATTATTCATTCCTTGATATAGAGAGTTACTTTCACATTGTAATATATTTATGACTGCATCTTTATCCTTTAAGTCTTCGTGCATCTTTAACTGAACTTGTTTCAGGTTTTCAATTTGAAGTTTTAATAATTTTATATCTTCTTCCGCCTTTTCTTCAAAGTGCAATGAAACTTCAAAATTTTCTCTCCTCTGAGCTTTTTCTTTTTCCAGTAGCTTTACTAACGTTTTATTTTCCTCAGTTAGATCATAAATATGTTTCTTCAAATCGTTATTGACGGTAGTTGATGCATCCAATCTATTTAAGGTACTCGTTATATCTGGTATTAAATCCACTATAGCTTCATTACCATACTTTTCCGCTACAACTGAAAGAGTCCCACGAAGGTTTATGGCAAGACCCACCACATCATCATTTACCAATTCACCTCTAAGGCTTTCAAGACCATTTTCAGCTTCGCGTAATAAATTCTCGCGACCACGACGAGTAATTGGCTTGGACATATTTCACTTCCTTCAATAATCTCAATGCAAGTTAGCAGTACAGCACTGTCATGCGGGTTAGTCTACCCTTGCGTTGAAGGCCAATAGTCTACCACCCCAAAGCACCAATCCGTATCTCATGATTGACTGGAAGTACACAAAATAGGCTGTCCTTACATATTTCTTAGGAACCTGATTTACAAGCCATCCTAAAAGATGCACCACCCGAGACAATCTTGAAGATAAATAATCTATGTGAGCATTTCATGTAAGTTGATTATCAATATGAAGGCCCAAAAATTTTACAGCTGTGCTATTATTTATATCACTCTTAGTGGGGATTTGTTTTAGTGTAAAAATCATATTTTGGGTTTTTTCTTCATTAAGCAAAAATCCATTCGCATTAAACCAATTTGATGCTTTTAGCTTTGTTTCATGGACAAGATTTTTTAGTTCTGTTAGGTTGGGGTTTACATGAAAAAATGTTGGTTTGTCAGCATTTAGAATAGTTTGACTCTTTACTGCCAATGGAAGGTCATTGAAATAAATTAAAAATAAAAGTGGACCAAGGACTGAGCCTTGGGGAACGCCCCATTTTACATTCTTTTCTTGTGACGTATTACCGTTAATACTTACTATTTGTTTACGATTGTTTAGGTAAGATGAAAAGAATTGTAGAGATGGCCCTCTAAACCCATTTTGTAATTTGTTTATAAGAATTTTAAAATCAACACAATCAAACGCCTTGCTCAGGTCACATGTGCATGTTTGACAGTCTATGTGTTATCCACACAGGGACACAGTGCTTATTTAAACCTGAATACGAGTGAAAGATCAGTGTGTAGCAAAGAAAATGACAATAGAAATAATAGTAATGCAATTTTTAACAAGTTTTCTCAGGTGGAAAATATTTTCCACCTGAGACTTGTTAAAAATTGCATTACTATTATTTCTATTGCCATTTTCTTCGCTACACACTGATCTTTCACTCGTATTCAGGTTTAAATAAGCACTGTGTCCCTGTGTTAATGTACCAGAATCAGAATCTCATTGTCATTTGTCAACATTACACAATAGACAACACCAAAGAAGAACAGTAATATGCTGTCTAAAAGAAAATAGTATAGTCTGCAAGTGTTGGTTTTTAAGTTAGGGCTGTTTGAATAGTTCCTTAGTTGGCATGTAGGTTGCAACGCTGCTTACTGGCAAAGTTTATTAACAGAAAGGCACCGTTTACAGTTCTATAGCTAACATGTACACTTAGCTGTGTGCCTAGAAAACTTTTTAAGATATAGAATTTCACGCCGCATACGAGATAAGGTCATTGGTATGTTTTTAGACTGTAAGAAACATATCAGCTGGATTAGGGAGCTTAAAAATGACTATGAAAATATCAATTTCTTAAGGAATTGTGTTTAGTGTTTTTGTGGATACTTTTCATAGAAAACCACAAAGAAAAAAGGTTTTCACAATTTATTTTTGTTATATAGTATATTATTGATTAAATTGTGCATATTTATGAAAATAGTTGTTGAGTTTGAGTGAGAGTTGAAAGTGGAGAGGATTTTCCATTGTCACGTGATTTAAAATGTTTTCTGTTGCTTTCACCCCCAACAAACCCAAAACATCTTGCGCCTCTGGGTCCGAGCACATTTGAAAGCAAGCCTGGATTTACCTTTAAATCAAATGGTATTTAGTGTAATTGTTGTTGTTATAATACCGTATTATCATTCCATGTTTTTGTAGTTTTTATACAAGTACATATTTTTGTCCTTTGTTAATTCAATAAACAATTGTATTCTCTCTGTAACTTAATTTATGTAAACATTGTGAATCTATGTTAAATGACTATGTAATATTTTAACTGTCTTGTGTATGGTTGCCAATATAAATAAATTGCCTATTACAGGACAGATAATGATCCCAGACAGCACAAGGATATTTTATAAATATTTTTAAAACATATATCCATCTTAAAAATATTTTATATATTTTAATATTATTTTTAAAATCTATTTTTTTAATTTTTGAATAATATTTTAACATAATAGTTTTAAAATATTTTAAAATGATTTTTTAATTGTCTTAAAAATATATTTTGTAAATATTTTCTATTTTTCGGTTGAATATATTTACAAAATATTTTTAATATATTAAGACAAAATAATTTAGTTTTTTATGTAAAAGATATTTTTAAAATATTTTATTTACCATAAAAAATAGCTTTTAAAAATATTTTTATAGAATTGTAACTGTAAAAATATTTTTAAAAACACTTTATAACACCTTTATAAAGAATATTATAGAAATATTTTATAAATAGCCTGTTTAAGTTTTAAAAATATATTTTGGTTACTTGTTTCAACCGAGCTGGGTAAAATATATTTCCCACACATTTAAAAAATATATTTTGACAGCAAATTTCTTGTTCCTTAAAGAATTGATTTAGGGCCATGACTAAAAGACTTTTTTAAATAATTCAAGTAGCTTATACTAAAAATTGCATGTATATTACAGTTGTCACTCCAAAAATAATTCCTTTTTTCCAAACAGTTAAACAAAATGTTTAGACTATCTTATAAAAGTGAACTTTTAACATACCGGATGTCCGCCCAAGTAGCACACATTGTTATTGTTGGCCCAACGTTGGGAAATGGTCGGTACGGTTATGAAATCTATAGTAAATTGGATCTATAATTAATAGATTTAATTATAGATTATAGAGCAGGGAACACCTGCTTAATATAGAACAATTAAAATAATGCATTTTTTTAATTAATATTTTTTAACTTATTTGAGTTAATTTTTAATAGATGAACAATTTAAGGGGAAATATTAATTAATGTTATAATAATAAATTATAATAACATTACTAATCTAATTGTAATTAAATAATCTTTATTCAAATACTAGTACCCTCTCCAACTCCCAGAAAAACAATTCATCTACTTGATGCCTAAGCAGATTAACAGAATTATATTATATACTGTGGTATCAAAAATATTTCAAGTATTGCGGCCATTGCAACTGTCGGCTACTCTTTCACCACTTGAAAACTCTCAAAAACAACCAACACAGGTAGCTCAGAGGTAAGGTAGGAGGCTCACAAGGCAAAGGTACCAGGTTCAAACCCCCGTCCGGGCAAAAAAATTTTGTTCTAGTTTTTTTTTAATTTGTTTTTATGAACTATTTAATCAATTTACTCAACTAATAATTATGCTTTTCATACCAAATCTTTATAATTTAAAATATTTAAATACATTTTTTAATAATTTTTTAATAACATTTATAAAATATTAAAACAAAATATTTTATTAAAATATTTTTAGTATACATTGGGGGTGGAATAGGATGCATTTTTAAAATATACTTTAAAGATTAAAATAAAATATTTTTAAAACATCCTGTGCTGTCTGGGATTAACCTAGAACAAATTAGTTCAAAAGTTAACTCTTGTGAAATGTGTTTGGGACACACTCCTTAACATTTACCGAGAATTCCCAAAAACTTCAGCAAAATTTGCCATCTTGGAAAATGGCAGCGAAACAAATCAAACTTTCAAGGCTTTACGGAAGTTGAATAAATTTGAAGTTATAGCAATTTCCCTTAAACCTCGCAAGTATGATTTGTTTCGATGCCATTTTCCAGGATGGCGGATTTTGCTGAAATGGCATTTTTTGGGAATTCTCGGGAAATATTTAAGAGTGTGTCCCAAGCACATTCCAGAAGAGTTTATCCTTGAACTAATTTGTTCTAGGTTAGGGTCTTTTTTTGGATAACTGTCTTGTACTACAGGTAAAGTAACACATTGATCAATAGCTAATTGTCAATAAATTATACAAAAAAAAAGTGAACTGAAAACATACCTGTTAATGTAGAAAGAAAATATTGGAGCAATTTTGTTCTGTCTGTAGAAGTTGTAGAACAAAGGAGTGACACCGGGGGACAGTTTTTCCAAGCCTAGCCCTAGGGTTCCGTCTGCTTCATACAGAGCGTTTATCCATGGCAAATGTTTGAGTTCTGCAAACTTCTGATCTGTGGTATTCATCTGGCCAACCTGGGGAGCAAAGGTATGTTACAATTTCATCAACAAAAACATAGTGAGAAAATGTACAGGAAACTTTTTTTAACAACTTATAACTCAAGCTTGGGGCTGATTTTCACATTATTTAAACTTTTCACATATTTTTAAGCGGTTTGTAAATACATTCAGTCTGATGGGAGCATTTATACACTATGGTGTAACCACTCCCTCTTCAAGTGCTGCAGCCAACTCCGATGGCAAATATAGTATATTTTTGAAACCGAGTGTTTATTAGTTTTGGTAATATCCTAGACTGCTTGTACTAATTCCTACTTACCTAACCAATCTGAAATTTCTTGCGTACCATACTTTGATGAATGTTCTGAATGGTTGTGCCCAACGTATATGATGTTACATATGGCTTTAATTTGCTTTAATTACTGCTTTAATTTGTTTGAACAACAGAGTAACACGGACCAATGAGGTTCAAGGATTGAGAGAGAAGAAGTAAAATTGTAATGATTCGAACTTCAACTAATCAGCTGTTTAGGCCAATTTAATTGTTGAGTGCTGCAATTAGTGTTTGGTACAATGTTTGGTTGCATCACTGACAGTGGCAATGAGAGGTTTAAACAAAAACATAACCTCTCTTAGAAGTAATGAGTAGTGATTTATAGTAATTAAAACACTGTCGTAGGTAAAGTAATGTATGCAACTTGCGTAAATAGTGTTAACGACACTTGTAGAAGGTTTTAACGCACTCGCCAAGGCTGGCACCTTAAATTTTCTACTCGTGTCGTTAACACACTACTACTATAAGTCCCCTGAAACAATGCACTATTAACTACAAATAATATTTTTGTTAAATCAAGTGTATAAAAAAGATTAGTGATTATTGAAAATGGATAAAACTTACCAAGAACAAGTCATTGGAAAGATATCCAACATAAGTGTTGGAAATGTTGAAGCTGGTGCCATCAGGTTTATAAGTCGATGATCTACTGTGGTCATATCTTTCATGTCGGGCTGAAAAATACATTTATACCTAAATCAATAATCACCTGTATCATAAATTTAATTAACCTATTTTAAAATCAGTAGGATATTGGCAAAAATGAATTCCAAACTGTTCTTCGAGGTCTCCTTTATAATTAAGCTCTCAAACTCTGGAACTTTTCAAAAAGAAACCTAAATATGCTGGTTTAAAATTGTATAACAAAATTTCAAAAAGCATTACAGATAAGGCATCAAATAAAAATTCAAGATTAAATTGTAGCAGTACTTCATCAAAAAAGCTATTTATTCTTTTGATGAGTTATAAGAAGTAATGTTAGTTTTTACATTTTTAATTCTAAGATACCTTTGTTTATCATTTTTCAATAACTGTATTTGGCACTATTTATGTGTATTCGATGCTACAAACAAATAAAGATTCTTTGAATTGAATGAGTGAACTTGTGGAGACTAGTGTATAATACTTCATGTCTTTTAAGCCATATGGGAAACACGTTTTAATATTGGCTTCCAATCGGCCACATAAAACAAAGACCAGCGAAACCAAGACAGGATAACTTAAGTTATAGTAAAGCACAATACCACAAGCTATGCTGACAGGGGGCATTCCACGGACGGAACCCAGGTGTAGGCCCAAGCCGTGTCCATCACCATTTTGAATGTCTTCTCAGGCTTGCCAATGTTGACAAAACCATAGTATTGGGTCTGAAAATATACTCATAAATAGTAAAGACATTAAAAGACTATAATAATGGTACAATACCTCGTCAAGTAATCCAAATGGTGATTGAGGTTATCAACCTACATGTTTCGCCGTTAATACGGCATCGTCAGGGTTACAAAAAACGAAGACATCGATGTCACACGCACACAATAAATACACGAAAACGAACATTTAATTACGAAAAGACAAAAAGTAAACATTTAATTGACATTGATAGGCCTATCACACGCACACGACACGGACGGTCCCGGCGCAGGTAGTAGACTGCAGTCAGACTCCTTCCTCGTTGTTGTCCATGTTATCAGTAGGACAAAGGTCAGGTGGCCGGTTATTTTGGTGAATTAGCACATTGAAAATAGAGTGTGACTGGAACTGCAGTTTTTCATTGAGGATATGTCCACTGGCGGTGTTGTCGTGGTATAATTTGTAAATTTCAAATTCCTCTAACGTGTTTAGTTTACTACCTTTCCTGCATTTATGTAGCACCTCAAAACCGTCAGCAATCTCACTCATGTTATGGTTTAGGTCGATTAAATGCTGGGCAAACGCTGAATTTTGTTTGATTAAACGTGGTTTGGGCCTGTGTTCATTGTAGCGAGTAGCGAACCCACGACCTGTTTGCCCAACATATTGGCTTGGACAATCTTGGCATTTAATTTTGTAAACACCTGTCATTTCCATTTTATCTCTTGATCGGTCAGTTTGTGACAGGGTGTTACGAGTACGGTTTGTAGTTTTGAATGTTAATTCGATTCCCTTTCTACGAAGCTCTTTGGATAGGCAGTTTTGTAATGTGTGGGAATATTCAATACATACGTACTTCTTACGTTCGTCCTTTTGTTTGACCTCTCTATTATGGTGTTTGATTATAAGTCTGTCTACAAGCCCGCTATTATAGCCGTTGGATATGGCTATATGTTTGATGATATTGTATTCATTACTGTAATTTGTGGGACTTAAGGGGACCGTTAGAAGTCTGTGTACCATAGAGCTGTATGCTGCAATTTTTTGAGAATGTGGATGATATGAGGTTGCGTGAATGGTCTGAACTGAAAAAGTGGGTTTCCTGTAGATTTTATAATCGAATTTATTGTTAATTTTAGTTATGGTTAAATCTAGAAAATGTATTGCGTTGTTGTCTTCTTCTGTTTCTAATGTGAACTTTAGTCTCGGGGCTATTTTGTTTAGATAATTTAAGAGTAGATCCAATTGCCTTTTATTGCCATCAAACAAGACAATGGTATCATCGACATATCTATTGTATAGTACTATTTTAGAATGATATTTGTTCTTGTCAGATAAAATGTACTCATTTTCAATATAATTTAAGTATATATCAGATAAAATTCCAGATAGTGGGGAGCCCATTGCCAGACCATCAGTTTGAGAATAATATTTCCCATTAAATGCAAAATAGTTTTGTCTCAAAATCTCTCTTAACAGGTCAATAATCTCTTTTATTGCCTCTGGTAACATAGCTGATTTGTTTGTTAAGTTTGTTTGTATTATATCTATGGTTTTTTCTACGGGCACATTCGTGTATAAATTCACTATGTCGAATGAGGCAAGCAAATGATGGTTTTGTATGTGCCAATCTTTAGTTTTGTCAATGAAATCATAGGAATTCCTTAGGCTGTGGTTATTGTCTAGGACTATGTTATCCTTTAGGATCCTTTCTAATCGTTTAGCGATATTATATGTGGGTGCGTTTGTGTAGTCGACTAGTGGCCTGATGGGAACACCTGTTTTATGAACTTTAGGAAGCCCCCGTAGTATCGGGGCTGATGGGTTCATGATACGTAGATAGCGGATATCGTTATCAGTGAATAACACTTTACTCGAATTTATCAGAGTTTTGATTTTTGTTTGATAATTTTTAGTGGGGTCTTTTTTTAGTTCAATAACTTCGTTGGCAGGTCGTGGGTTCGCTACTCGCTACAATGAACACAGGCCCAAACCACGTTTAATCAAACAAAATTCAGCGTTTGCCCAGCATTTAATCGACCTAAACCATAACATGAGTGAGATTGCTGACGGTCTTGAGGTGCTACATAAATGCAGGAAAGGTAGTAAACTAAACACGTTAGAGGAATTTGAAATTTACAAATTATACCACGACAACACCGCCAGTGGACATATCCTCAATGAAAAACTGCAGTTCCAGTCACACTCTATTTTCAATGTGCTAATTCACCAAAATAACCGGCCACCTGACCTTTGTCCTACTGATAACATGGACAACAACGAGGAAGGAGTCTGACTGCAGTCTACTACCTGCGCCGGGACCGTCCGTGTCGTGTGCGTGTGATAGGCCTATCAATGTCAATTAAATGTTTACTTTTTGTCTTTTTGTAATTAAATGTTCGTTTTCGTGTATTTATTGTGTGCGTGTGACATCGATGTCTTCGTTTTTTGTAACCCTGACGATGCCGTATTAACGGCGAAACATGTAGGTTGATAACCTCAATCACCATTTGGATTACTTGACGAGGTATTGTACCATTATTATAGTCATTTAAAGTAATCCAGGGGCCATCAACATGGAATTTAATAGACATTAAAAGGTTAGGTACTTTTAGCTATTAGCACACTAATCACTTTTCGCTATACTAAAAATTAATCAATTGGTTTCTGTAGTTTTTTCATACCAGAAAGTCATCTTTCATAGTAAGGCACCAGTAAAGTCAGCTGGAGTAAGGGTCAATTTAAGGATTGTTCTCGCGTGAAAATGACACTTTTTCAAAAAGCTATAATACAGTAGAACCTTGATAACAAGACTCTCATTGGGATTATTAATTAAGACTTGTTATCAAGGTTGACTTGTTTTTGAGGGTCTTCCTATCGAGGTTCAACTGTATGAGTTTCTTAGTAGGCTTTCAACGAAGCTACACTATAAATATTTTTCAGGTTTGACCAGGCCAATTGCACTTTCACAAATTAAAAATTGGAAACATACTCTTTAAAAATAGTTGACAATTCTGTTTGGTGAACTGTATATTTAATATTTTGTCATTAAATGGGTTGTTTTTAACATGCTGTGTTTAGCTGTGTGTAGTTTGTAGTGTGGCAAAAAAGTATAATATGAAACTCATTTGGGAAGATGATTACAGAGCTTGTAGTGCGTCACTGTCACTTTATTAAATGTAATGAGTAATGTAATTAAATGTAATAAAGTTGTTTTAGAATTTTTAAAGTTATGTTGTAACAGTTGTTTCAAGTTTTTTCACTTATCTAATGAATCAAGTGATTTCATTGCCAGGGACGTAACTAGGCTATTCAGCACCCATAGAAAACCACAAAAAAAAAAGTTTTTCACAATTTATTTTTGTTATATATTATATTATTGATTAAATTGTGCATATTTATGAAAATAGTTGTTGAGTTTGAGGGAGAGTTGGAGAGTGGAGAGGATTTTCCATTGTCACGTGATTTAAAATGTTTTCTATTGCTTTCACCCCCAACAAACCCAAAACATCTTGCGCCTCTGGGTCCGAGCACATTTGAAAGCAAGCCTGGATTATCCTTTAAGTCAAATGGTATTTAGTGTAATTGTCGTTATTATAATACCGTATTATCATTCCATGTTTTTGTAGTTTTTATACAAGTACACATTCTTGTCCTTTGTTAATTCAATAAACAATTTTATTCTCTCTGTGATTTATGTAAACATTGTGCATCTATGTTAAATCACTATGTAATATTTTAACTGTCTTGTGTATGGTTGCCAATATGAATAAATTGCCTATTACAGGACAGATAATGATTAACCTAGAACAAATTAGTTCAAAAGTTAACTCTTGTGGAATGTGTTTGGGACACACTCCTTAACATTTACCGAGAATTCCCAAAAACTTCAGCAAAATTTGCCATCTTGGAAAATGGCAGCGAAACAAATCAAACTTTCAAGGCTTTACGGAAGTTGAATAAATTTGAAGTTATAGCAATTTCCCTTAAACCTCACAAGTATGATTTGTTTCGATGCCATTTTCCAGGATGGCAGATTTTGCTGAAGTGGCATTTTTTCGGAATTCTCGGGAAATATTTAAGAGTGTGTCCCAAGCACATTCCAGAAGAGTTTATCCTTGAACTAATTTGTTCTAGGTTAGGGTCTTTTTTTGGATAACTGTCTTGTACTATAGGTAAAGTAACACATTGATCAATAGCTAATTGTCAATAAATTATACAGAAAAAAGTGAACTGAAAACATACCTGTTAATGTAGAAAGAAAATATTGGAGCAATTTTGTTCTGTCTGTAGATGTTGTAGAACAAAGGAGTGACACCGGGGGACAGTTTTTCTAAGCCTAGCCCTAGGGTTCCGTCTGCTTCATACAGAGCGTTTATCCATGGCAAATGTTTGAGTTCTGCAAACTTCTGATCTGTGGTATTCATCTGGCCAACCTGGGGAGCAAAGGTATGTTACAATTTCATCAACAAAAACATAGTGAGAAAATGTACAGGAAACTTTTTTAACAACTTATAACTCAAGCTTGGGGCTGATTTTCACATTATTTAAACTTTTCACATATTTTTAAGCGGTTTGTAAATACATTCAGTCTGATGGGAGCATTTATACACTATGGTGTAACCACTCCCGCTTCATGTGCTGCAGCCAACTCCAATGGCAAATATAGTATATTTTTGAAACCGAGTGTTTATTAGTTTTGGTAATATCCTAGACTGCTTGTACTAATTCCTACTTACCTAACCAATCTGAAATTTCTTGCGTACCGTACTTTGATGAATGTTCTGAATGGTTGTGCCCAACGTATATGATGTTACATATGGTTTTACTGCTTTAATTTGTTTGAACTATTAAGAGTCAAAACAACAGAGTAACACGGACCAATGAGGTTCAAGGATTGAGAGAGAAGAAGTAAAATTGTAATGATTTGAACTTCAACTATTCAGCTGTTTAGGCCAATTAATTTGTTAAATGCTGCAATTAGTGTTTGGTACAATGTTTGGTTGCATCACTGACAGTGGCAATGAGAGGTTTAAACAAAAACATAACCTCTCTTAGAAGTAATGAGTAGTGATTTATAATTAAAACACTGTCGTAGGTAAAGTAATGTATGCAACTTGCGTAAATAGTGTTAACGACACTTGTAGAAGGTTTTAATGCACTCGCCAAGGCTGGCACCTTAAATTTTCTACTCGTGTCGTTAACACACTACTACTATAAGTCCCCTGAAACAAAGCACTATTAACTACAAATAATATTTTTGTTAAATCAAGTGTATAAAAAAGATTAGTGATTATTGAAAATGGATAAAACTTACCAAGAACAAGTCATTGGAAAGATATCCAACATAAGTGTTGGAAATGTTGAAGCTGGTGCCATCAGGTTTATAAGTCGATGATCTACTGTGGTCATATCTTTCATGTCGGGCTGAAAAATACATTTATACCTTAATCAATAATCACCTGTATCATAAATTTAATTAACCTATTTTAAAATCAGTAGGATATTGGCAAAAATGAATTCCAAACTGTTCTTCGAGGTCTCCTTTATAATTAAGCTCTCAAAAGCTCTGGAACTTTTCAAAAAGAAACCTAAATATGCTGGTTCAAAATTGTATAACAAAATTTCAAAAAGCATTACAGATAAGGCATCAAATAAAAATTCAAGATTAAATTGTAGCAATACTTCATCAAAAAAGCTATTTATTCTTGTGATGAGTTATAAGAAGTAATGTTAGTTTTTACATTTTTAATTCTAAGATACCTTTGTTTATCATTTTTCAATGCCTGTATTTGGCACTATTTATGTGTATTCGATGTTACAAACAAATAAAGATTCTTTGAATTGAATGAGTGAACTTGTGGAGACTAGTGTATAATACTTCATGTCTTTTAAGCCATATGGGAAACACGTTTTAATATTGGCTTCCAATCGGCCACATAAACCAAAGACCAGCGAAACCAAGACAGTAAAGCACAATACCACAAGCTATGCTGACGAGGGGGCATTCCACGGACGGAACCCAGGTGTAGGCCCAAGCCGTGTCCATCACCATTTTGAATGTCTTCCCAGGCTTGCCAATGTTGACAAAACCATAGTATTGGGTATGAAAATATACACATAAATAGTAAGGACATTAAAAGGTTAGGTACTTTTAGCTATTAGCACACTAATCACTTTTCGCTATACTAAAAATTAATCAATTGGTTTCTGTAGTTTTTTCATACCAGAAAGTCATCTTTCATAGTAAGGCACCAGTAAAGTCAGCTGGAGTAAGGGTCAATTTAAGGATTGTTCTCACGTGAACATGACACTTTTTCAAAAAGCTATAATACAGTAGAACCTTGATAACAAGACTCTCATGGGGATTATTAAATAAGACTTGTTATCAAGGTTGACTCCTTATTGAGGTTTGCAATAACATGTGATTTGGGGTAAAATAAATTCAAGGGGATTTGAAAATTACACTTGTTATCAACGATGACTTGTTTTCGAGGGTCTTCCTACCGAGGTTCAACTGTATGAGTTTCTTAGTAGGCTTTCAACGAAGCTACACTATAAATAATTTTCAGGTTTGACCAGGCCAATTGCACTTTCACAAATTAAATATTGGAAACATACTCTTTAAAAATAGTTGACAATTCTGTTTGGTGAACTGTATATTTAATATTTTTGTCATTAAATGGGTTGTTTTTAACATGCTGTGTTTAGCTGTGTGTAGTTGGTAGTGTGGCAAAAAAGTATAATATGAAACTCATTTGGGAAGATGATTACAGAGCTTGTAGTGCGTCACTGTCACTTTATTAAATGTAATGAGTAATGTAATTAAATGTAATAAAGTTGTTTTAGAATTTTTAAAATTATGTTGTAACAGCTGTTTCAAGTTTTTTCACTTATCTAATGAATCAAGTGATTTCATTGCCAGGGACGTAACTAGGCTATTCAGCACCCATAGAAAACCACAAAAAAAAAGGTTTTCACAATTTATTTTTGTTTTATAGTATATTATTGATTAAATTGTGCATATTTATGAAAATAGTTGTTGAGTTTGAGGGAGAGTTGGAGAGTGGAGAGGATTTTCCATTGTCACTTGATTTAAAATGTTTTAAATTGCTTTCACCCCCAACAAACCCAAAACATCTTGCGCCTCTGGGTCCGAGCACATTTAAAGCAAGCCTGGATTAACCTTTAAGTCAAATGGTATTTAGTGTAATTGTCGTTATTATAATACCGTATTATCATTCCATGTTTTTGTAGTTTTTATACAAGTACACATTCTTGTCCTTTGTTAATTCAATAAACAATTTTATTCTCTCTGTGATTTATGTAAACATTGTGCATCTATGTTAAATCACTATGTAATATTTTAACTGTCTTGTGTATGGTTGCCAATATGAATAAATTGCCTATTACAGGACAGATAATGATTAACCTAGAACAAATTAGTTCAAAAGTTAACTCTTGTGGAATGTGTTTGGGACACACTCCTTAACATTTACCCAGAATTCCCAAAAACTTCAGCAAAATTTGCCATCTTGGAAAATGGCAGCGAAACAAATCAAACTTTCAAGGCTTTGCGGAAGTTGAATAAATTTGAAGTTATAGCAATTTCCCTTAAACCTCACAAGTATGATTTGTTTCGATGCCATTTTCCAGGATGGCAGATTTTGCTGAAGTGGCATTTTTTCGGAATTCTCGGGAAATATTTAAGAGTGTGTCCCAAGCACATTCCAGAAGAGTTTATCCTTGAACTAAATTGTTCTAGGTTAGGGTCTTTTTTTGGATAACTGTCTTGTACTATAGGTAAAGTAACACATTGATCAATAGCTTATTGTCAATAAATTATACAGGAAAAAGTGAACTGAAAACATACCTGTTAATGTAGAAAGAAAATATTGGAGCAATTTTGTTCTGTCTGTAGATGTTGTAGAACAAAGGAGTGACACCGGGGGACAGTTTTTCTAAGCCTAGCCCTAGGGTTCCGTCTGGTTCATACAGAGCGTTTATCCATGGCAAATGTTTGAGTTCTGCAAACTTCTGATCTGTGGTATTCATCTGGCCAACCTGGGGAGCAAAGGTATGTTACAATTTCATCAACAAAAACATAGTGAGAAAAAGTACAGGAAACTTTTTTAACAACTTATAACTCAAGCTTGGGGCTGATTTTCACATTATTTAAACTTTTCACATATTTTTAAGCGGTTTGTAAATACATTCAGTCTGATGGGAGCATTTATACACTATGGTGTAACCACTCCCGCTTCAAGTGCTGCAGCCAACTCCAATGGCAAATATAGTATATTTTTGAAACCGAGTGTTTATTATTTTTGGTAATATCCTAGACTGCTTGTACTAATTCCTACTTACCTAACCAATCTGAAATTTCTTGCGTACCGTACTTTGATGAATGTTCTGAATGGTTGTGCCCAACGTATATGATGTTACATATGGTTTTACTGCTTTAATTTGTTTGAACTATTAAGAGTCAAAACAACAGAGTAACACGGACCAATGAGGTTCAAGGATTGAGAGAGAAGAAGTAAAATTGTAATGATTCGAACTTCAACTAATCAGCTGTTTAGGCCAATTTAATTGTTGAGTGCTGCAATTAGTGTTTGGTACAATGTTTGGTTGCATCACTGACAGTGGCAATGAGAGGTTTAAACAAAAACATAACCTCTCTTAGAAGTAATGAGTAGTGATTTATAGTAATTAAAACACTGTCGTAGGTAAAGTAATGTATGCAACTTGCGTAAATAGTGTTAACAACACTTGTAGAAGGTTTTAATGCACTCGCCAAGGCTGGCACCTTAAATTTTCTACTCGTGTCGTTAACACACTACTACTATAAGTCCCCTGAAACAAAGCACTATTAACTACAAATAATATTTTTGTTAAATCAAGTGAATAAAAAAGATTAGTGATTATTGAAAATGGATAAAACTTACCAAGAACAAGTCATTGGAAAGATATCCAACATAAGTGTTGGAAATGTTGAAGCTGGTGCCATCAGGTTTATAAGTCGATGATCTACTGTGGTCATATCTTTCATGTCGGGCTGAAAAATACATTTATACCTTAATCAAAAATCACCTGTATCATAAATTTAATTAACCTATTTTAAAATCAGTAGGATATTGGCAAAAATGAATTCCAAACTGTTCTTCGAGGTCTCCTTTATAATTAAGCTCTCAAAAGCTCTGGAACTTTTCAAAAAGAAACCTAAATATGCTGGTTCAAAATTGTATAGCAAAATTTCAAAAAGCATTACAGATAAGGCATCAAATAAAAATTCAAGATTAAATTGAAGCAATACTTCATCAAAAAAGCTATTTATTCTTGTGATGAGTTATAAGAAGTAATGTTAGTTTTTACATTTTTAATTCTAAGATACCTTTGTTTATCATTTTTCAATGCCTGTATTTGGCACTATTTATGTGTATTCGATGTTACAAACAAATAAAGATTCTTTGAATTGAATGAGTGAACTTGTGGAGACTAGTGTATAATACTTCATGTCTTTTAAGCCATATGGGAAACACGTTTTAATATTGGCTTCCAATCGGCCACATAAACCAAAGACCAGCGAAACCAAGACAGTAAAGCACAATACCACAAGCTATGCTGACGAGGGGGCATTCCACGGACTGAACCCAGGTGTAGGCCCAAGCCGTGTCCATCACCATTTTGAATGTCTTCCCAGGCTTGCCAATGTTGACAAAACCATAGTATTGGGTATGAAAATATACACATAAATAGTAAGGACATTAAAAGGTTAGGTACTTTTAGCTATTAGCACACTAATCACTTTTCGCTATACTAAAAATTAATCAATTGGTTTCTGTAGTTTTTTCATACCAGAAAGTCATCTTTCATAGTAAGGCACCAGTAAAGTCAGCTGGAGTAAGGGTCAATTTAAGGATTGTTCTCACGTGAACATGACACTTTTTCAAAAAGCTATAATACAGTAGAACCTTGATAACAAGACTCTCATGGGGATTATTAAATAAGACTTGTTATCAAGGTTGACTCCTTATTGAGGTTTGCAATAACATGTGATTTGGGGTAAAATAAATTCAAGGGGATTTGAAAATTACACTTGTTATCAACGAAGACTTGTTTTCGAGGGTCTTCCTATCGAGGTTCAACTGTATGAGTTTCTTAGTAGGCTTTCAACGAAGCTACACTATAAATATTTTTCAGGTTTGACCAGACTAATTGCACTTTCACAAATTAAATATTGGAAACATACTCTTTAAAAATAGTTGACAATTCTGTTTGGTGAACTGTATATTTAATATTTTTGTCATTAAATGGGTTGTTTTTAACATGCTGTATTTAGCTGTGTGTAGTTGGTAGTGTGGCAAAAAAGTATAATATGAAACTCATTTGGGAAGATGATTACAGAGCTTGTAGTGCGTCACTGTCACTTTATTAAATGTAATGAGTAATGTAATTAAATGTAATAAAGTTGTTTTAGAATTTTTAAAGTTATGTTGTAACAGTTGTTTCAAGTTTTTTCACTTATCTAATGAATCAAGTGATTTCATTGCCAGGGACGTAACTAGGCTATTCAGCACCCATAGAAAACCACAAAAAAAAGGTTTTCACAATTTATTTTTGTTATATAGTATATTATTGATTAAATTGTGCATATTTATGAAAATAGTTGTTGAGTTTGAGGGAGAGTTGGAGAGTGGAGAGGATTTTCCATTGTCACGTGATTTAAAATGTTTTCTATTGCTTTCACCCCCAACAAACCCAAAACATCTTGCGCCTCTGGGTCCGAGCACGTTTGAAAGCAAGCCTGGATTAACCTTTAACACGTTCGCTGCTACGGACGTTCCGGAACGTCAGCCGGGCCACGGCGTTAGGAGCTAAGAACGTTCCAGAACGTGACCGTTCATTGTTGTTTAACGTTGCTATGGATAAGCCAGCACGTCACAAGCGTTCTATATTTCTTTGCAGCTCGTGGGGACGTACTTTTCTGACAATAAAAAATATAGTTTCCCAAGTCACCACCTGGGTCGTTTGGAACAGGGCTTTGTTTTACCTCTTTCCTGCTGGATAGCGATACTACTTTAACGACTGTAACCTGGGTAGTGCTGCTATCTATCAGAATCACTTAGTACTATATCCAAAGCCAGTTTTATTGCAGAACATTGCCATCCAGTATAACTACTGTTGTTTTTATTGTAATTCAGTGTATCGGTGGCAATGTTACGCAGCGGCCGAGCGTTAGTTCAGCAACTGGCGCCGTCCCGGCATCTAGCGCTCAGCAGCGAACGTGTTAAGTCAAATGGTATTTAGTGTAATTGTCGTTATTATAATACCGTATTATCATTCCATGTTTTTGTAGTTTTTATACAAGTACACATTCTTGTCCTTTGTTAATTCAATAAACAATATTATTCTCTCTGTGATTTATGTAAACATTGTGAATCTATGTTAAATCACTATGTAATATTTTAACTGTCTTGTGTATGGTTGCCAATATAAATAAATTGCCTATTACAGGACAGATAATGATTAACCTAGAACAAATTGGTTCAAAAGTTAACTCTTGTGGAATGTGTTTGGGACACACTCCTTAACATTTACCGAGAATTCCCAAAAACTTCAGCAAAATTTGCCATCTTGGAAAATGGCAGCGAAACAAATCAAACTTTCAAGGATTTACGGAAGTTGAATAAATTTGAAGTTATAGCAATTTCCCTTAAACCTCACAAGTATGATTTGTTTCGATGCCATTTTCCAGGATGGCAGATTTTGCTGAAGTGGCATTTTTTGGGAATTCTCGGGAAATATTTAAGAGTGTGTCCCAAGCACATTCCAGAAGAGTTTATCCTTGAACTAATTTGTTCTAGGTTAGGGTCTTTTTTTGGATAACTGTCTTGTACTATAGGTAAAGTAACACATTGATCAGTAGCTAATTGTCAATAAATTATACAGAAAAAAGTGAACTGAAAACATACCTGTTAATGTAGAAAGAAAATATTGGAGCAATTTTGTTCTGTCTGTAGATGTTGTAGAACAAAGGAGTGACACCGGGGGACAGTTTTTCTAAGCCTAGCCCTAGGGTTCCGTCTGGTTCATACAGAGCGTTTATCCATGGCAAATGTTTGAGTTCTGCAAACTTCTGATCTGTGGTATTCATCTGGCCAACCTGGGGAGCAAAGGTATGTTACAATTTCATCAACAAAAACATAGTGAGAAAATGTACAGGAAACTTTTTTAACAACTTATAACTCAAGCTTGGGGCTGATTTTCACATTATTTAAACTTTTCACATATTTTTAAGCGGTTTGTAAATACATTCAGTCTGATGGGAGCATTTATACACTATGGTGTAACCACTCCCGCTTCATGTGCTGCAGCCAACTCCAATGGCAAATATAGTATATTTTTGAAACCGAGTGTTTATTAGTTTTGGTAATATCCTAGACTGCTTGTACTAATTCCTACTTACCTAACCAATCTGAAATTTCTTGCGTACCGTACTTTGATGAATGTTCTGAATGGTTGTGCCCAACGTATATGATGTTACATATGGTTTTACTGCTTTAATTTGTTTGAACTATTAAGAGTCAAAACAACAGAGTAACACGGACCAATGAGGTTCAAGGATTGAGAGAGAAGAAGTAAAATTGTAATGATTCGAACTTCAACTAATCAGCTGTTTAGGCCAATTTAATTGTTGAGTGCTGCAATTAGTGTTTGGTACAATGTTTGGTTGCATCACTGACAGTGGCAATGAGAGGTTTAAACAAAAACATAACCTCTCTTAGAAGTAATGAGTAGTGATTTATAGTAATTAAAACACTGTCGTAGGTAAAGTAATGTATGCAACTTGCGTAAATAGTGTTAACAACACTTGTAGAAGGTTTTAATGCACTCGCCAAGGCTGGCACCTTAAATTTTCTACTCGTGTCGTTAACACACTACTACTATAAGTCCCCTGAAACAAAGCACTATTAACTACAAATAATATTTTTGTTAAATCAAGTGAATAAAAAAGATTAGTGATT